CCCAGTTTCTGCACTGACATTGCTCTTTGTTGTGTGAGCAGTCGCTTGTCATTTCTTGATGTTGCCATCACAACCTCTGCTGTACCATTGCTATCTTGTAGTTAGGATTTTTCCTACCATCTTCCTCCCCCCAGATTTAAAACTGACAGCAGGATAATGAAGTCTGCAGACTGTGAATAAACAGCACATTAGGTGAAGAGAATTCCTACTAGACAGAAAGTGGGGGTGGAAGTCCTGTCACTGGGGGAAGAGAGAAAATTAGAAGGAAGGAGACTCTGATTGGGACATTGCCCGAGGCCCTCAGTGATCTTTACTTCCTGTGTCCAGTCTGTCTGCCTTCACAGACACACCTTAACATGCCTGACTTCACAGCTTGACATACAGCTGAGACACATGTTCCAAATCATCTAATTTCATATTGTCATTGGCAGATAGATTTCATAGCAGCAAGTAATCAGTTTGTATTGAACATATTGTGGTCCAGAGGCAACCGCTTCATTAATTTTTTCAAGTCCATGGTTACCAAGCATGGAATCTGTTATTATTTCATGTTTGTTGAGGACCCTAATGTGCTAAGCACTTGCGATTACCAAATACAGGAATTACATGCAGAAGCCGTGTGGCTGCAGTTACTTGAAATTTCAGTGTGATGGGGACCAGCTGCAAGTACAGCATGAATGGTTGGACAAATGGATGAGCATCAGGTGGGTAAACATGCATATATTTAAGGAAATAAAACCTAAACCATGTTTGGGAGGAAGAGGCAGTTCAGGTGTTGATCTATGAACCATAGTCACCAAGTGAACCAGAATGCTGAGGTCATCTGGAGGGGTGCTGGAGACAAATTATATTATCAAGACACTAAGTGAATACATGGTGAATGAATGAATGAATGGACAGATTTAGCCAATAACTTGTCTTCCTGGCTTCCAGGACAAACACAAAAATGGCCTTTCCACTAGAATGTATGCATCTGCTTTTTTTTTGCTTTTTACCTGAACTAACTCTCAGGCCATATACAGTCTATCTTAATTTTGGTTTTACCATGTGAGGCCCTTAATTGGAAGGCCATAGTTGAGTGATAAATGAATTATTGAATCCAGTGGTGATAACCTATTTTGCATGAGGTCAAGTCAAGGAAAAGGAAAGTGGATTTACAATAGCCAAGATCTGGAAGCAACCTAAGTGTCCATCAGTAGATGAATGGATAAAGAAGATGTGATACATATACACAATGGAATATTATTCAGCCATAAGAAAGAAACAAATCCTACCATTTGCAACAATATGGATGGAGCTGGAGGGTATTATGCTCAGTTCACAGACTCCAAGAAGGGACTAGCGGTTACCAAAGGGGAGGGTTGGGGGAGGGAGGGAGAAGGGGACTGAGGGGTATTATGACTGGCACACATGGTGTGGGGAGGACCATGGGGAAGACAGTATAGCACAGAAAAGGCAAATAGTGACTCTGTCACATCTTACTATACTGACGGGCAGTGACTGTAAAGGGGTATGGAGGGGACATGATAATACGGGTGAATGTAGTAACCACATTTTGTTTTCATGTGAAACCTTCATAAGAGTGTTTATCAGTAATACCTTAATTTAAAAAAAAGAAAAAGGAAAGTGGTTTTGGGGACTTTTTTCCTCTATTTAAAATCAAAATAGAATTTGAGATCCTTAGAATATATATATAGACTTCAAATTTAGATTATCTTCTTGATTCAGTAATGAAATGTCATTGCAAAAAATGGAACTGTACTGTTAAGATCCAGGCAAAGTTGGTAAACAGTAAAATGAAATATCCATGTAATCTTTCATCCTGATATTAGATCTTGGCCCATGTGATGACAAGAATCAGTCTACAGGCTCTAGCTACATCACTGACATGGCTTTGACCATCACCAGGGAGAGGTGCCAATCCTGCCCCCTTCACACCTTCTACCCAAACAGTAGTGGAGCCTAAAATAAGACAATAATGACTGGTACACGATATAATAATACTGTAGCCATATTGTATACGACTTAGCTAGCCATGATGTATAGAACCATAATATTACAACTGTAAACATGAGAATCACACACATGCTATATAATAGAAGAATCGTTCGTTATTTGTTCTAAGCACTGTGCATGCCATGTGCCAAGCATACGCCCCAATAAAAATGATCAAGACCAGATGAGAGAAGGTGCAAACCAACAGTCCTGAGAATTAGGGCACATAAATACAGGTGGAGCAGAGCTTACAATGATGAGAGGGTATTATAAAACATCTGTAGGACAGCAGAGTGATAAATTCCTAGAAAAATATAACTTACCCACAGTGACTCAGGAGAAGATAGTGAACCTGACCGGTTCTAAGTCCATTAAAGAAATTGAATCACAAGATAAAATCTTCCTTCGAGGAGATGTCAAGCCCAGATGATTCTGCAGATAAGTTTTACCAGACATTCCGGGAATAAATAATTCAAACATAGCACAAACTCTTCCAAGTAACAGAGATGAAGGGAATACTCCTTAACTAATTTACTGAAACTCAGATCAATTTGTATAATACCAAAACCAGGCAAGAAAGTTACAATTCTTGACCCATTTCACTCATGAATGCAGCTGTAAAAATCCTAAGCGAAATATGAGCCCACAGAATCAAGGAATGTCCAAGAAAGATACAGTTTATCCTAGAAAAATCTATTGTAATTTGCCCCCTTAATTCATCAAAGAAGGAAAACTATGTGATCACCTCAGTCAATGCAGAAAAGCAAATTATAAAATTCAACATTCATCCATGATAAAAAAATCTTAACAGACTGCAAGTAAAAGAAGTTATTCTTAACAGAATGAAGACAATTTATTTTTAAAAAACCCAAATTTCAGTGAACCTCAAACTTAATGGTGACACATTAAAAACATTCTCTTTAAAATTAGGTACAACTCAAGACACCAAGTTCTGCCTTTTCTAGTCCACGTGGTAAAGGAGATGCAGTCAGTGCAGTAAGACCAGGAAGAAAAGAAAGCTATATAGTTGGAAAGGAAGAATAAACAGAAACCATTCAAGATATATTTGGCTTCTTAGAAACTCCTAAGGAATTGACAGTAGATTACTAAAGGGTTTTAAACAATGGCTGCAAAATCAAAGATTGGTTACATTTCTGTAATGTTGCTTCAACAACAATCAGTAAAAAATAGGCAATTAAAACTATACCATTTGCAATAGCACTTAGAATAAGCTTAATAAAAACGAGCAAGACTTTACAGAGAACATTATAAAATTTGCCCAACAGGCATTAAAGGCCTAAATAAATGGAGAGTTATATCATGTTTTTGAAGACATAAACTCGTTCCCCACCCACAATTTTATTGAGTTAGAATTGACGCATAACTGTGTAACTTTAAGGTGTATAGCCTGCTGATTTGATACACAGCAATATGATTACCACCTTAGTGTTAGGTAACGCCTCCATCCGTCATACGCATTTCTTTTTTGTGGTAAGAACATTTAAGATCTACTATCTTAGCAACTTTCAACTGTACATTATTCATTTTCTAACTTAGGTTTGTATGACCAACATCTCTGCCTCCCCCCAGCCCCACCACGCCAGCTCCTGGTAACCACCATTCTATCTGTTTCTATGAGGTCAGCTCCTTTAGATTCTGCATATAAGTGATACACAGCGTTTGGCTTTGTCTGCCTTGTTTCCATAATCTCCTAAACATATCAGTTCTCCTCTAACCGATTTATTGTTAAATGTTATTCCAATGAAAACTCCAACAAATCGTTTGTTTCGTTTTATTTTGGTGAAATTTGGCAAACTGAATCCTTAATTTGCTGGTCATAAGATAGTACATACAATGAGATTTCATTCAAAAGGAAATGCACACATTCCCCACAGGTATAAATGTTGGGAGAAAGTTTCAGATGAAGAGAGTATTTGTCTTCTATTGCGATGTAACAAATTAGCACAAATTTAGCAGTTGAAAAACAACACTTATTTATTAGCTCAGTCCTGTAGGTCAGAAGTCTGGTGTGGTGTAGCTGAGTTTTATGCTCAGGGTATCACAAGGCTGACATCAAGACACGGACTAGGTTGAGTTCTTGTTTGGAGGCTGCGTGGGAAAATCCGCTTCTAAGTGTGTTCTTGTTGACAAAATTCAGCATTTTGAGACTGGGGGACTGAGGTCCTATTTCCTCCTGGCTGTCAGCTGGGCGCTAGTCTCAGCACCTAGTGGCTGCCGACATTCCTTGCCATGGGGCCTACTCCATCTTCAAGCCAGCAATGGATACCTAGTCCCATTGACTCTCAGACTTCCTTTTCTGTGACCAGTTGGAGAATACTCTGCTTTTAAAGGGTTCATGTGATTAAGTCAAGACCACCTGAATATTTTTCCTATTTTAAAGTCAACATCCTTAATTATATCTGTAAATCCTTTTTACTGCAATACCTAGGTTAGTGTTTGATTGAATAAAGGGAAGAAGGCATGTGTTCACTTAGGGCCTGAAATTTTGGTGGGGGATGCATCTTGGAATATGCCAGCCACAGTGAACTTATGGATTTGTGTGTGTGTGTATGTGTGTGTATGTGTGTGTGTTTATAATTGTTCTACATTGACTTTTTTTCTATCTAGAATTTCTTTATTGACAATATTTGTTTTGTGTTCTTGATATACAGCCTTACCAACTAAATTGTCGAACTTTATCAAATGCTTTCTCCATCTATTAAAATAATACACTTTTCTCCACTAAACCATCAATATAGTGAATTACATTGGTGGGGTTTCTGATGTAAAACCACCCTTACATTCATGGAACACAGTGTTTTATTATAAATATTATTTAAATTATTTAAAATGAAATAAAACATAAATATTTTCTTAGTTTATCTGAATGCTAGTGCACTTTAGTAAATTTTCATTTGTCTGTAAACTAATTAAGCTTCTTCTTCCATAATTCACATATTCATCTTCACTGCCAAATTTCCTATTTCTGTTTATAAGTGATATTGGCCTGCCTTTTTTTTTTTTTTCTTTTAATGTCCTCATCCAGTTTTCAGATTCAGGGAATCACTTATATTAATTTCATTAAACCAGTTGGGCAGTTTTTTCCTCAATTCTTTTCTTGTCCCTTTCCTTCTTTTTCTTTCCTTCTTCCTGTACTGAAACAATTTAAATAAGAGGAATATTCTGTTTTTCTATCATTGGAAGTTGGTTAAAAGCTCATTTGTAGTAATTGTCTGGAATGGAAGCTTGGGTTGGAGGGGAAGGAAGGTACACCGACTTTTTGGGGGGTGGGAGATTTAAAAATATTAAAAAGTGGATGAGGAGTTACCAAGTTAGGATGTGTGGATTGCTCGGGAGGAGAAGGGGTGCAAAGCAGGAAGGTAACAGAAGGGGTTGTGGGGCCCAGGAGGCTTTGAATTGTTTGCTCATCTTATTGTGGGGGAAGTCGTGGAGAGGGCTGGGCAGCTGGTGGGCACAATCTTGAGGGGGACCAGGTTGAGAAGAGGCAGATGAGAGATGGAGTAACCGTAGGACCCGAGAGCAGAAGGCCAGGACCGAGGTGGGCGCATAAGAGAGCACGGCAGGGAGAGCTCAGCTCCATGGAAGGAGCTCAGGCGGTGCAGAGAACGGCTTGGTCTACAGGATGGTGTCTTGGATGGAATGTCGTGAAATTCTATGCCACTGAAGTTTTAAAGTACGGCAGCCTGTCCCGTCTCTAAGAATACAAAAATAAACAAACCCTAGAAAAAGATCTCATTTATGTATTTGCAGATTTTATAAACCCAAAGGATGTTATAGTTTAAAAATGCACAGAAAGAATGCAAAATAGTACAGCCATTTCGAATGGCATATGCTCACCCCATGATCTAGCAGTGGCACTCCTTGGTATTTCCCCAAATTAGTGGAAAACTTATGTCCACACAATAACCTGCACCTGAAGGTTCATAGCTGCTTTACTCATAACTGCTCAAATCCGGGGGCAGCCAACATGTTCCTCAGTAGACAAATGAGGAAACAAACAGTGGTGTGAGCACAATAGAATATTATTCCGTGGTAGAAAAAATGAGTGATCAAACTACTGAAGGACAAGGAGGAACCCTGAATACATGTTACTAAGTGAAGGAAGCCAATCTGAAAAGGCCCCATACCATGTGATTGTAACATGACGTTCTGGAAAAGGCACAACCATGGAGACCGTGAAAATATTAGTGGTTACCAGGGGTCTTGGGGGTGGGAGAAACGGACGGGAAGATTTAGGCAGGGCGACTGTGGTGCCACAGTGGTGGATGGATGTCATTGTTCGTTTGTCAAAACCCATAGAATGTACGAAGCAAAAGTGAGCCCTGACTGATGATGGGCTTCAGCTAAAAGCAGTGTGTGTGTACTGGCTCATCGATTGTAATGAATCCACACACCAGCGCAAGATGTCAACAGCAGGGCACCTTGGAAGGCATGGGGGGCATATGGGAGCTCCGTACTTTTCACCCAGTATTTTCTGTAAACCTAAAGCTGCTCAAAAAAATAGTCTGTTCATTTAAAGATAAATAAATACAAAATTAAATGTAAGGAAGCTCAGAAAAGGTATGTGTCAGGCCCCAAGGGCGTTCTGGGTTCTTCATTCAGCAGCATGTATGAACTATTCCAGGGCTCACAGAGAGCACGGCCTCCACAGGAAACGAGGCTGGGAATAAGGAGGAAGGTGGGAGGTGGAGGTGGGGACGGGAACCTGTGAGCAGCCCTGGGGGCCTGGCGCAGCCCGCTGTGTCTCCATGTTTTCCTGGGAACCCATGTGCTGTCCTGTGACATCACACTTTCTTTACTATTGGAATTACAGGATCCCAGTTCCCACCCCGGTCCTGCAAGCTCTGGCTGTGACCAGGTCCTTGTCCCCAAGGCCAGTGACTTGTCTACATTCCACTTGAACCATCATGCTGTGCTTCCAGACTTCACCAGCTGATTCCTGCAGGGCCCCTCTATCGCACCCCAGACTCTTCCTTCACTTCCTCTCAGGGTCAGCAAAGACCAGGCTGTCACTCTCAGCAAGGCTTTGCTGCAAGCTTTGGCACACAGACGACACATGGAGGTCAACACTGGGTGCTGCGTGCACTGCTTGTAGCTCCTGACACCCAAACCTGGAGTTTGGGGTGCTCAGACTGACCACTCTTTTCTGATTCTCCAACTCATCTGGGTGTCTACCAATTCAATTCAGTTTGGACAATAACTGCCTGGTACTTGTCCTCAGATGCCAGTTGCAAGTTCTGGGCCACCTGCACTTTGACAGACTGGCTATAAATCAGGGATTCCCATGACCCTCTCCTAAGTTTCGATCATTTTCTAGAACAGCTCACAGAACCCAGGAGGGCACTTTACTTCTGTTTGTTTTAAGGATACAGCTCAGGAACGGCCAGATGGAGAGATGCACGGGGCCAGGTATGGGGCTGGGAGTAGCTCAGAGCTCCTTGTCCTCTCTGGGCACACCGCTCTCCCAGAACCACTGTGGTTTCCCCAGCTTAGAAGCTCATCATGTCTTGTTCAAGAGTGTTTATAGTTTTTAATCTCCAGCCCCCCACTTGCCCGGAGATTGTTGGGTGGAGCTGAAAGTCCCAACCCTCTAACCACTGAGTCACTCTGCTGAGCAGCCCCCTCCCAGGGCCCTGCCCTGAGTCACCCCATCAGCGTGAACTTGGGTGTGACCACAGGGGGCTCCTGTGGACACCAGGCCACTCCACCGCTCCTAAGATTCCAAGGGTTTCAGCAACTCTCTGCCGGAAACTGGGGACAAAGACCACATGTATTTCATATCATACCACAGGTGTCCTTCAGTGCCTCTGCTTACCCCACGGCCAGTCCCTGAGGGACAAGGCAGCAGCACACAGGCTTGGCACCAAAGCGTCCTTTAAAGAATCGTCGTATTTGGGATTTCAGAAAAAGTATTTAAGTCATTGTGGGGAGATCAGAACTTTGTTGGTCATCTTTATGCTCTCTCAGAGTTGGCTCACAGCCTTTAAATTTTAGTTTTCAATATTAAAAACTTGGGGATTTATGGTTTCTCTTAAAAAATTAGATGGGATGGCAATGATGGTGAATTGGCACTGACTGGAGGTGAGCAGGGTTGTCTTTGGGGGCAGACGTGTCCCCCCTCCATGCTCCACGGAGGCTAACACCACTGGCACACGGTCTTTCTGTTTGCTGACTCCAGCCTCCCTGTGTGTCCCCTGAACCGAGGGGCTTCCAAGGCAAAGGGCAGCTCAGGTCCGCGCTATTGGCAGCGCACTGAGCCAACTGCTCGTCTCATAGTGTCTTGGGCTTCCCTTGCCCGTGACAGTCCGCTGGACTCCTGGCCCAACTGTGTGGACCACAAGGGGAACAGAGAAGGCCTCAAAATCTCTTTTTGAGATTCAGGCTGCGACGTCTCCCCTGGCATATACTGACAAATGGGGTAGTTTAAATACTCTTAATATGTACCATTCTGTCCCCATCCCTTTATGGTGTTTTCATTTTTTTCAGTTCCATTTTCTAGGCCTTGAGGGTTTCCAGTTGATCAGGTGGCACCAGTGGCCAAAAATACCCGTCAATCACAGACTTTCTGCCAGCTCTTCCCATTTTTGTGGCTGCACAGAAAGTGGTCCCTACAATCTGATCATATAGACTCTCTTTTTGTGCCCGTTTTGCCTGAGAATTTTGGGACATAAAGTTCCTTTGTCCATAGCCATAAAAATATAATGTTGAGATGTTTCAACATCAGTGAAGCACTCACAGCAAAAAAAGACATATTTTCTGTGGATGTTTCTGAGTTGACTAAAAAATACAACTTCTAATCCCTTAGAGAACTGGTTGTGTTGAAATATTTACAGAAGGTCAAGGAGTTTCTCCTCCCGCCTGGCGAGGAGGCGTGAAGCTGTGGGCAGTGGTTATGCGAGGCAGGCCTTTCCAGCCTTGTTTATTCTGGAAATAACTCTGGAAAATGCCTCATATGGCTCCCCAGAGACCTGGAGGTGGGCCTATGTCAGTACATGACGAATGAAAACAAATGGTTCCTTTGCAACATTGAGCAAAATTAATAAAAAAGGTCTTTCTTAGAACTTCCAGACAGACCCGAGGGACTAAAAATGAACTTGAAAGTGTAAGGAGTCAGGACAGAGCTAGACCAAAAAAAAAAATATTTCACCCAACTTTGTAACTGATTGAGATAGTGGAAATTTTATAAACATAGTCCACCGAAATCGGCGGTTTGAAGTGCATCTTCAAACACTTGTTTGTTTTTATCAATTCCCGCTTAGGAATGAAGTCAGTCCCTAAGGATAGGGTGAGTTGCTCCCAGTCTCCTGAAACTACTCCCAGAGGGCATGACCCGCCCGTAGTCCTTCCTGCCCAGGGCCCCTGGGGACTGGTGGATGCAAAGCACCTTGGTTGTAGGGCCAACAAATCTTTACGTCCTCTGGGCCTCTCGGTGAATGACAAATGGATGTGGTGAAAGGCTCTGTCCCCAGGACAGCCTATCCATAACCCTGACCATGATTTCCTGCTGTTAAGTCCTTTTAATTCATTGGCACCTCCATTCTTAAAGCACTTACAAAGTGGGTCTGGTTTCCTCCGTAAGTGGAGGATGTAGCAGTGGACACCTAAGGCTTTTCTTTCCTCCCTCTCTGCCATCATTCTGGTAAACCTCCCTCCACTGCCCACCTTCCCTGCCCCAGGGACTAGGTCTAGGCCCTGGTGTAGGGTGTGGGTGACCCAAAGCGCACGAATCAAAGCTTTTCCTCAAGATTTTTCAAGCTGGATCTGAGACAAAATCCACTTTCCTCCAAGCTCCTGGAATTATTAGAATATGGGATGAGAGGCTGCTGGAGACAGAGGGTCTGCAGAAGGGTAACACTGAAGCGGCTGCAAACGCCGGCAGTCTGACTGAGGCAAGTTGCATTGCCCAGTAGATGAGAGGGAGGGGACGTTCGGGGCACACAGTGGCCACGGGTCCCACCGGCCTCCTGACAGGACCTTCATCCCGCCCTCTCCTGCAGTGTGCCCACGTGGACCTGTCCATACCCCTTCTTGCCTAAGCGAGTTTGAATTCAGTCTGCATCCTTACAGTGGAAAGAGTCTTAAAATGCAACGTGCACATCACGAGGAGAGCAAAGTGAACTCCCCTTTGTGCTTCAGGACTAAAAGCAGGCCGGACTTTAATGTTCATGAGAAATTATTTGGAATGTGAAAGTATAACTTTTTGGCCCACATGTGGATCTGTCCATTTTAGGTTTCTTTTTTTTTTTTAAATATATTCATGTTCTTTCCCAAATACAAAATTCTTTCTTAAAATTAGCAATACAACAATGATGAGTATTAGCATTTATTGAGTGTTTACCATTGGTAGGTACTACTTAATTTGTATTTATGCTTTTCATCCTCACAAAAACCTATAAAATATATATTGTCATTTCTCTACATTACAGATGTGGCAACAGAGGCACAGAAAGGTTAAGCAGTTTCCCCTGGGTCACACAGCTAAGAAATGGCATAGACAGGATTTGAACCCCAGCCTTCCAAGTTCAGAGACTGGGCTTTTACTATAGAAATAAGTAGAAGTATTGAAAAACACTGATTTTAGTTAGTCATGACAATTTTGCTTAAAACTGAATGATATATTCTTAATTTTTTGAAATAATTTTTGCTAATTTTCAAGGCAATTAGAAAGTTAGAAATGTCCTAAAGGGTATTGTACTCTAAGACTTGAACTTAATGTTAGGGGGCTTTAGCCCAGGGAGGTTTTACTTGGCTTTTCTGTGGTGGAGGTGGGACTGGAATTCACATCCCTGATTTCTATCCCTTCTGGACCAAAGGATCTTCAGGGAAATACTGACATCTCCTATAAGCAAAAGTGGAGTGGGGGTCTGGTCTTGGGGCATGCATGTGGAGCGGGGGAGGGGAGCGGGGCGAAGCCCTGTGCCTCCTTCCCAGTGCTGCAGAGCCGTCGCCACTTCCCCACCTTCTGGGTCAGTGAGGAGCCTCACCTCTCTCCCAGCGTTGTCTTGATCCATGATGGTTCTCAGTAGACCAAAGAGCAGGATGGGTAGGATGCTCAGCCCCACTTGCTAAACGTCCCCAAAGGACATCCGAGAGTAGAAGAAGGTTAACCAAGGCTCATTGTTACGCCATTCCTATGACGCATTTCAAGCAATTGCTGGAGAATTTGGTTGAAACCCAAAAGTTGTGATCCAGCGTCTTTAGCTACGTGCTAATTTCCTGCTTGTTACCAGTCCCTTTTTGAGCAACTAGAAAAACAACTCATCTCCTTTAGTCTTGACCAGAGGGGAATATGGGAGTCAAAAATCCTTGGCCCCTCATTTCCTGTGAGATTGTGAAACAAAAAGGTAAACATTTAATGGAATGTGGCAGCTCAGAACAATTGCCCCTATTGTGGAGAGCACGGGGTGTCTTTTCCGTCTTGCACGCACCCTGCTGCGGAGGGGCCGCCCAGGAGAGAAGCCCGCCCTGTCAAGGGCCGACCAGGCCGCCCGGGTCCGGGGGCAGTTTGTAGAGATTGTCACGGTTTAGGCTGAAACGTCCTTGGGTCACTTAGAATAGTTTTCCTTAAAGGAAAGCGTTCTCAATGCTTCCCAGGGCCTGCCATTATTGCAGTGCGGGAAGAGGCAGGAGGGCTTGCATCACTCGGGAACCGTGTTAAGTCTAAAACTTGGTGAGGGGCTGTAGCCCTTGACTCTGCTCCGGAGCCCTGGCAGCCAACAGATTTTCTTCCTTTTTAGGTTTCCCCACTGCGAGCCCTTCAGAGAACAAGGTCATGTTGATCTAACAGTGACTCACGCCAGGCCTTTCCATGCCTCCTCTGCACAGGCTCAAGAGTCATAGCAGAGCCTCCTAATAGTTCCGTGAGGGTGGGAAGAGGGCCCCGCCCGCGTGGAGAAGTGCCGATCATTCAGCTGTATCGCTTGGCCTTTATCTCTAATTACCTGACTGAAAGAGTCCCCAACTGTGGGGAAGGGCTTCTCTGGGGTCAGTGGGAACTATTCTTTCTTTCATTCAGCAAACGCTTATTCAGAAACTACCCTGCGCTTGTGTGAGATATAAGAAATATATATGTATTCATAATAATATGGCAGATTATATATAATATATATTAATACTAAAAATAAAATAATAAGATATACATACATGTCTCTGCCCCTTGTTCTAATTGTTGGCCTCTGACCCTGGCTCTTAAAACCCTTGTGATTTCCTGGGTGGTAGGGCTGTCTTTTGTCCGAATGAGAACCCTCCTGGCTGGCTCCTGAACGGGGGCTGGTCACTAGAATGACAAGCCATGATTAGAAGCTTAGAACTTTCAGTCTCTCATCCCATTCCCTGGAGGAGGGAGATGTTCTGGAAATGCAGTTCATGAGGGATCATGCCTATATGAGGAAGCCTCCGTAATAATCCCCAAAGTATGGGTTTCATAGAGCTTCTGAGTTGGTGAACACATCCAACAAGAAGTAGACGTAACCCAACTCCACGGGGACAGATGTACCCCCACTTGTTCTATATGCCGCTTCCCCTGTATCCTTTTTTATATAACGAACTGGTAAATATAAGTGTTTTCCTGAGTTCTGTGAGCTGTTCTAGCGTACTTTGGACCTGAGACTGTGGGATCCTGCCATATAGTCAGTCAGAAGCACAGAGGACACCTGATGTGGGGGAGGTCTTGTAGGACTGAATGCTATGGGATTTGATGCTCTCTCCAAGAAGACAGTGTCAGAATTGGGTTAAATTGCAGGACTGCCAGTTGGTGTCTGCCGGAGAATTGTTTGGTGTGTCAAACCCTCCACACCTGGTGTCAGACAGAGTGAAGCAGTGAAAGTGGAGGTAAATTATGTTTTTCCTAGACAAATCCCATAGAATTTGTAAGTAAGCAGGCAGCTATAATTACAGTATGATAAATGCTATGATGGGCAAAGCCAAGGGTCATTCCAAAACTCTGACCTGGGCTTCAGGTCAGGAAAGGCGGAGTGAAGGGAATGACTCATCCAGACTAGGGGAGGTCTGTGCCCCTTTACTCTCTGTCTCCTTCTAGATGGACTTCTTTGAGGTGGTGAATAAAACCCTTTAAGACATGTATTTAAAAGAAAAGAATATAATGACTTACTTATTTGATTTTTTGTTATGTTTCCACTAACCACCACAAGCCTACAGAAAAGTTATAACTAGAGTAAAAAAAATATTTTTTTCTTGAGGTATTTAAGAGTAAGCTGCCAACGCGATGACCCATGAACCCCAAGCCATTTGTTGTGTATTTTCTACAGACACAGGGACTTTCTCTCCCATCACCGCCACGCAGTGGTTAGCAGTGGCCCCTTAACATCATCTGATCCTAGGTTCCATTCAAATTTTGCCAGTTTTCCCAAGAATGGCCTTTATGGCAAAAGGGACCAGGTCATAGTCACTCACTGATTTAGTTGTTTATCCCCTTCCTTTCTTTACCTGATCTTTAAGACAATGCCATTTTTGAAGAGAATAAGACAGTCACTTTGTAGAATGTCCCTCTTTTTCATTTATCTGATGTTTCCTCATGATTAGCTTTAAGCTGTGGTTCTTTAGCAGAAACCGCTTAGTGGGGTTGTAGCCTCCTCACTGCACCATAACATGTGGTGCAGGATTCTGGCCTGTCCCATGACTGATCATTTGATAACATGGCATCTGCTAGGTTTCTTCATCATGAATTACTCTTTTGTCCTCTGTAATGAATGTGTATTTTAAGGGAGGTACTGAAAAGCATCCCATTCCTCATCAAATTTAGTTCAGTATGGATTCATGATTTCTATTTTATTCAGTGGGTTATAATCTGTTATGGTTTTTTTTTTGATGCTCAAATTGTCTTCTATTTGGTTGCCCCTTCAAGCTGATTTCTGTACCTTTGACACAACCCAATCATCCTTTGAGCATTTCCATTATTTTCTGACACAGATAGATGTTCTAGGTTCAACTTCTGCTAGCCCTGGAATCAGCTACTTCTCTAAGGAACTCTTAGTGGAGAGTGGTATTTAGAAACCAAGAGCTGGGCACTAGGTGTGCTCGTTGCTGTCGAGCTATTGCTGCTCCAAGGGCTCTTGGTAGACAGTGCTAGAAGTACATATATATGGAAATATACACACATTTGTTTCCATATCTGGTTTCCTTGAAATCCTTGAGCTCACACCAATACCTTCACATCCAACCCAATACCACAGGATTCATTCTAGCTTTCTCCCTTTGTAGATTTGTAACTCCTTCCTCTGACTGTGAGAAACATAGCTCCCATTATTCTAAGTATATTTACTTATTTGATCAATCCCCTCTAAGGAATCAGTCTCTGCCATCCCTCCCCTGGGTGGACTTCCTGTTTGCCCTCCCTCACACCCCATCCAGGTCTATAACTTCTAGGCCTTCCCTACCCCCCTGGGTTCTGAGTCCTCACACTGGGCCACCTCTCCTCACAGACACTTACCTTACTCTACCTCCCTTCATGACTTCAGGACTGAATTGTTGAGGAAAGGAAAGAGACGGGTGAGGCAGAGGAAAAGGAAGAGACATGTGAAGGAGGACAGAGGGTCCTCTTACATTTTTTTAGCTTCCGTTTTCTTGCTTGCAACCTTTGCAGTGCTGTATTACATATCATCATATCAGACCTTATCTTTTCATTGCACAGATGCTCCCAACTTAGCCACCTCTCTACTCTCTCTACTTTTCTATTTCCAACAATCCATCCGTCCCGATCCCAACCATCTTAGAACTGGCTCCAGAATATGCAGTTCTGGACAATCCAGTTTGTCAGCTTCATTAAAGAACCAGTTGTCTGAAAAGAATGAAGAATTTTAACTTCTGTCCTGAGGAGCATGCAAAACACAGGCACAGGACATCTGACATCTCAGAGGTAATTTCATGCAATTATGAAGTCATATCTGTGAAAGGGAAAATACAGATAAATACATCTTTTGAGGGTTTTGTCCACTTTTAAAAATGGGAATTAGCAGCATGGTTTATCTTTTACTCAGAGAGTTTTGTCATTTAAATAAGTACAGAAATTCATTACCTCAGTATTGTATCAATTCAGTTTTCCTAATGCTAATTAAGAAGCTCAGTTTTCCTAAAGCTAATTAAAAATACAACTAAGTTAATACTAAGACTTATCAGAGACTTTAAAAGTATAAATGTACCCCCTACATTTAATTGTAATAATTCAAAAGGAAGCCTGAACCAGTATTGTCTGGTTCCATTAGAATTAATTAATAAACAAACAAGAACAAGACACCCTCAGAACAATTGGAGCTGTATTGTATTTCGGTTGAAATTTTAATTTTACATTACATTTACCCAAATGGTGCATTTTAGGGATTTTTAAGATAGAAGCAAGACCAGGGTAACCATAGAAAGTTCTAATGTAAATATCCAGACCCCTGCATGGATTAAAATGTCTCCATCTCCAGTATATTCTGGGGTAACTGTATGAGCCCCTCAGAGATCAAACACTGAAGTTCAGTGTTACACCTTATTGCGGGTAATCTGGTGGCTCGGTCCCAGTAAGATGTGCTTTTGCCAGTATTACTGCAACTGTGCTGCGTCCTTCACCTCCAGACCCTTTCCCAGGGCACCCTCAGAGCCATGTGAGCCCCTGAAAGGGGCCTTTGTTTGGGGATGGGGCAAGAGGAATTGGTGGGGAGCCGCAGGAGATCCAAGTGGCGGCAGGGACTGGGGTGAATACAGTGTGAGGGGTTCAGGATTCAGGAGCGGGAGCTGGGAGAGACACAGGAGAGGGAATGGGAGAGAAGCCAGAAATCCCAGCAAACTGCTCATGGAAGTCTAAAATAATGGTGTCACACCCACAAATGTACTGCTGTTTGTGTACCTAAAAATACCGCAGCATCAAAAGGGCCTGAGGAGACTTGGAGAGGGACGGGTTTGCTCGCTATTTTGATTGTGATGATGGTTTCATGGGTGTATTGTCCAAACTTAGATCTAATTATACAGTTTTAAATGTGCAGTTTGTGCCTCAATAAAGCTGTTTTTTTTAGAAAAATAATATGGTGTGCAGTAAGGCTAAAACCAGTACTATATAGTTGGTAGCTGTGTCAAATCTAAACATGTCGACCTAGAACTGGGCTTTCTGTGTGGACCTGGGAGAGGCCTGGGCCAGTAATCTATTTTACCTGCTCTCAGTAAGTCTCGGAGGCCTCAAGGATCTTAACTGCCTGACATGAATTGTTTTCATGGGGGCTGAACATTTATCCCGAGGTCCTCATTTTGTGTGTTTAATTAGTTCTTGTATGCAGATGTTGGTTAAGAAAAATTTTTCCTCCACCCTCTTAGATTCAACTTCCAAGGGCTTGAGAATTGACCCAAAAAAGTCCATTTAACAGTAGAAAAGGAAGACAATTTTTAGTGAGATTTACATACATGGAAGTTCACAGAAAAAAAAAGGTGAAACTCAAAGAAGCAGTAGACTTGGGGCTTATGTACCAATTTAATAAAGGAAAGGGCATTGGGGCTTCAAGATGCCCTTCAAGATGGGATGATAAATCATGCAAAAGTCATTAGGAAGTATATGGGGGAACTCACTCAAGATAAGGCTTCTTTTAATAACGTCTATTTATGCAAACTTGTCTGGAGTCACCTGCATCTCCAGGGATAAGAGTTCTCTCCCCTCCTGGTATGGGGTGGAGTGGGGCTGGGATTTGGGGAGTTGATTGGGGGTAGGAGACACCTGTGCAAAGGGAAATGAAAGCTCTGCTTTTAGGCAGTTAAGGAAAGTGCAGAGACCTCTTCCTGCATTTGTTGGTCCTCAATAGTTTCAACCCAAAATCATCCTTATGCCCAAGAGTCATATATTAGGATGGCATATTCTGATCCCCTTCCCAGGGAAAACTACCAGCAACTGAACCTTTCAGAAGACTCGGTGCCTCTGCTCTCCCTCTGACCCCGCACCATTTTACTGTCACTTTATTGTGGGACAGGTTGGTAGGGTACCTCACGTCAGTCTGTCTTGAGCATCGAGCTGAGCCAGCGTCTCGTCTAGGGGCTGGCGACTTGCGCTTTGAGTACCTCCTCAGCTGTGAGGGTGCATCCTCTCCTCTCACCATGGGCCCCTCCTCGTGTCACCTGACTCTGTCCTCCTCTCTGCCCTCTCATCCTGAGATACGGCAGTACGAGTAGCTTTTATCTCTTTTAAAACATCACGCAGCAGTTTTCCTTTGACTGTGTTTCTGTCAGGTTCGTATTTTGTCTGAATTTACTGACTTTGCACATATTACAAACACTGATAATTTATTTTCCAATACAAAATATTTTCTTCTGTTTAATATTGCCCGTATGACGTCCCCCCGCTTGAATAATTCCCATTTTTAAAAAATCCCCATTTTTAGTAATCCCCCTTTTTTGTTTTTTAAATAAGTGGTTTGCCCCAAAAACCTCAAAAGCTGTGGCCACCAGCTGAGATCCTAAAATGACCCAAAAGTGGAGCTGGGGGAGAGTGAAATAAAATAAATCCCTTTCCAAGAATTTTAGCCTTGGAGAACGTTCGTGAACAAAACTCCAGGCCCCCTGCCATCCCCCGCCCTTCTGTTTTGGTTGGCCCCAGTCCTGCACCGTCATCAATCCCGACCAAAACAATGCCTGAGATAATGAGGTTTTTTACATTTTTCCGCTAAAAAAATTAAATGCTATGTGTCAATGAACTCTTTTACATTTCCATTTAGAAGGTACCTTTTCTCAAAGGGTATATTTAGGTCTGAAAGCCTGTCCTCTGAACATCACTTAAAAAAATTCAGTAGCTTGCACACATCTCAGCATTCCAAGGTTGCAGATTCTTTTAGCCTTGTTTGTAAGAACAACAGGACCAGCTCACACATGTTAAAATGTATTACTCACGGTTACAAGTAATAGTGAGACTTAACAAGTTGTCGCTTTTCTTCTGGGAGTGAGTGAGTGTGTTAATCAGTCTCCTGCCACCCCCAGTTTCTCCCTCCTCTTTTTAACCCACATCCTTAAGAAGTGAATGATTTTCCAGAGCTCCTCTACCTTCCCCCCTTGCATAGCTGTACTTTGAGGATTAGTTTTGCCTAATGCTGGTCTGGGGAACTGGAGAGGGGGCTCTCGAGGGAGTCTCTGGGATCTTTTCCATTTCCTAACTCCTGCCCGCACCCATGATTCATCAGGAACACTTACAAACACACCAGACACACACACAGTGAGCGGAACGGTGGCCCCTGTGCCCACCACCAGCTTCAACAATCACCACCGGTCTTCAGCACTGTTCTGTCCTGCACACCCCGACCATCTTTTTGTTCCAAAGCAAATCCTACACAGAAAATAATTTTACCCACGAATACTTAAGTGTGTTTCTGTAATAGTTGAGGACACTTCCCTTTTTCTAACAAGTGCAACACCACTATCAGCCTGATGCCACAAAAGCCCTTTAATAAGTAACTGCTTGGGTCAGAGTGGACTGCGGCCAAACATCTGGGGAATGAATTAGGGCCACCGGTGGTCAGTAAGTAGGGTTGGTGGCCAGGGAGAAGGGGTGGGTAGGGGTGGGGATGAGGGAGGACGTCCTAACAATCCTGGGAGAGTCATGGCTGTTTGCCTTGCCTCCCAAGTCTCGTGAGAATTCCACCTTGGGCATCCTCTCACCCAGAGCTGCCCCAGGAAAGGCACTTGGGGGAATCCAGCTCCGGCTCAGCCCAGGTGACACAGTACAAACCACCACAATCAGCACCCAGTCTAGGTTCACATTTATGCCCTTGTTTGGATAATGGGTTTTTACCGTTGATTCGTTCAAACTAAGGTCCAAAGCCCTCACCATCTGAATCTGGACAGGTCTATCCTGGGGTAAAAAAAGTTAGTGCAGAGGCTTGATGGGAGCCAGGCTCTGTTGTTGTTTGTTTTGTTTTGTTTTGGCAAGAATACCTGAGCTTCCTTACCTGTTTGACCCCCTTTGGGCCCCTGAACTGTTCCCATATCATAGGCTTATGGGTTCCCCTAACCTGTGGGCTACCCTACCCTCAGCTCAGATTTCTTAATCACTGAGCTTGAAGGTGCCTTGCAGGGAAACCAGATACTTTCACTGGTGCAAGTCCTCCAGCCAAGCCGGCCTCATGCCATGGGCCGGTCAGTCCCTGTCCTGGCCACAGGCCCCTGTGTGGCTGTCACAGTCGGGCCGGTTTCATGTCTGATGCCACGTGTGTCTCAGCTCGATTAACATCTAGTAGGAAGAGATCACACATGACCCTTATCATAAAATGAGATTCAATCCTCTGGCTATTTAATCAAAGGTATGGAAGCTTATGGGAAGTAAGGTGCCCCACCCCCCAGGGTGGAAGCAGATGCACCCTCCCCAGGGAACAGCCCTGGACACCCCCATGGATTTGTGAAGGGTCCAACCAACGCTGTCCACAAATTTTGCTGTGCCCTTGAGCTTCCATCCGCTGGGCTTATTCGGGAAGAGCTTGCTTGGAATCAATGGCTTTTGTTGAAGAGGCGACTTAGCGATGTCAGCGGGCTCTCCTGTTTCTTCAAAGTCAGCTTCAGCAAGGTCACCTCCAAGAGACAGTGGAGCTGGTGCCTGGGCTTCCCTGAGCTCCATCTTTGCCTCCAGGGCCCTGCAGTTCTGGAAAGCCCATTCCCTTGCCGTGTCGACCCCTTAATTCTGCATGTATAGCCTTTCATGTGCGTGTTGGATACAGAGCGTGGTGTGAGGACCATGATCCCACCAGACAACGATTTTCACTGAAAAGAAAACAAAGTATTTTTGTAAAGAAGCCATGGCCCGGTGTCAGTGCGCCTCAGGGCCAGAGCTCCACCAAGTCTGAGAGACTCCGGTCTGCACCTGACACGTGTGTTGTGACGGAAGAATGTGTCTTTGAGATAAAACAAGGTCTTGCCCAGGGAGCTGGATCAGAGCATTTGGGATGAGCTCCCGTGGTGTACACACTAGGCTCATCGGTTAGTGTCTGCTTGAAGCAAAAGGGCTTATATTGGGACTCATCAAAGGGATGTGAGTTTGAGGCCCTTGGTTTGGAAGTGGAAATCACGCCTCCCCCCGAGCGCTGGAAGCAGGGTCCCCTTCCTGGCCAGTGAGAGGCGGGGCTCCGAGTGCACATCCACCCCGTTGCCCCAGGGGAAGAGGCGATTCGGTAAAAGGAGATCCAGGTGCTGTCGGGATGGGAGAGTGGGTGCTGGGCAACGGAAACCTGACCCAATACACGTTCCCTTCATGGAAAGTAAGAGGAGCAAAACCAGCTTCCTCTTATTATGAAGAAATTTACAGTTTCCGAGCTTTAAGAAAAAAAGGCCTGAAACCTCAAACATAAAGAAATTCACTTTCTAAAATCTAGCTCCATAAACAGTGCCGTGAGAGGCCAGAAGAGAGGTTATCAGATTGGGGTATTTGTGTTTAATTTCTCAATTTACCACATTCCAAGAGCAGGATTTATAGTCAGCGGTAGGGAATGTTTCACAGAACACCCGGGGTCAGGGAAACGTGGTCATTTGCGTTTTGAAACCCAGAACTGTATGTTTCTACAGCTGCCGGCTAAGCAGCTCCCCCGGGACCACAGGCTTAGTTCATCTGGCCGAGGGGCAGAGCGGCTGGACGGTTCTCTCTGGGCACGGTAATGACGCCTTTTCCTTGCTCAGGACGTGGGACCAGAGTTGGACCGAGGAGTCAGCCGGCTGTGTGGGATGGCCGCTCGGCTGGGGATCTGAGATGCTAGTAAAAGGAGATTTGGGAGGAAAGGAAGTTGGTCATGGTGCACTAGAGGGGTTTCCTATCATTAAAGGCAGAAAAGTGCTTCTGTTCCTATTTCTTAAAAGTAAAACGATTATTAAACTTCTTTTAACCTTCACCCCGTTGATTGCCTCCGAGTGGTTAGTGATGCTGACCCCTTCAGGCAGCTGATACACACTTGGAAATCTTCATTTTTAAATTTGTGCCTGTAATGCATCTCAGATTGAAGGAAATTTAAGGACCACTGATCATGAAAATAAGGGGTAACAAAGAGAATAAATGATATTCCTACAAATCAGCCATGACTTGAGTTTCCCCAGATTTCTTAGTCATTTTCATTGGGTCAGAATTAAATTTGTCCAATATTAAAAGCTAAATATGTAATGACAGTGGCATTCAAGTTTGCTCATCATGTGTTAGAAGTAAAGGTTACCCACACCAAACATGGTGTTTTGCTGAGTGTTTACAAAGAGCCTTCTCTCTTCGCTTGTCATTTAGAAACAAAATATGAAATTTATCTACACATAAAATCCTCGGTTATAAAAACTGATCTTAAAAAAGTATGCAAAAATTCCAAACAGTTCATAGAACAGATTTATCTTTTTCTGATGTTATAAATACTTAGTTAACTTTGAATCTACATTTGAATCTACATTTGTCCCCAAGTATATCACCTTAAAATTTGTTGAGAAATCATACTTTCCTAATGTAATTAATTGAATGTAAGTTAAGTAGCATGTGTTTCTCCTTAAATATGATAAAGTAAAAATAAATATTTTTATATAAGTTAGGTCTTCTGGTTACGGTAGCAATGACCAGGGATGGTGTGTGGCTAGCCCTTAAGTTCCTGACCCACACTCCCCTGAGACAACCTCAATAAGCCATCCTCGGAAAATGCCAGTATCTTGCTATGCAAATTCTGGACTCTCTATCAGAATGCGGCTACCCCTTGGGCCCCTGGCATGGAAAATCTGGGGCTGCAGGTAAAACCTCTCTGGCTGAGGAAGGCACAAGAGAACGTGTGGGGTGGTTGTGAACAATCAAAGAATGCGAGAAAAAGCTGAGTCACTAGGTCTCAGAACTGCTCCAAGGATCTGGGCAGCAGAAGTTCCTGTTTCTCAAAACTTTTGATATGATTGCTACTGGGAGGTCAAGGTTCTGATCTCTGGGGTAGGGCTGAGGCCAGAGACAAGGGCCTATCAGGGGGCCCCACTTGGAGCGGCTACAGAAGGGAGGCAAATGGACCTAGGCAGGAAGCTCCCCAAATTCCACTAGAAGATAATTTGGCACAGTTACCAAGGCTTCACCCGGGTGTCCCTAGGAGTCACTGCTCTTGGCCTTTGTGAGTAGCAGACACTGGGACTTGTCTACTTAATAACCACTCTCCCCTTTTTCCTAATTATCAGAAGCCCAATTTTGCTCAAGGGAGTATGTGTCTGGCTAAAATGCTCACCTTTCCAGAGCCCTTTGCATTAAGGGGTGGCCAGGTGACATGGCTCTGGGTTATGTGGAAGGTCTGTCAGGGATTTCTGGAAATTCTTTGCTTTCATGATAGAGCATCTTCCTTCTCTTTGTCTTCATCTTTCTGCGTGGCATATGGACATGAGTCTGGAGCTGGGGCAGCCATCCTGAGGCCAGGAAATAAAAACACATGAAACAAAAAGTCCCATGCTAAGGGTGGCAGGACACAGTGACACAGGGAGCCTGACCAGCATGCTGTGCGGTGGAGGCCGGCCCTCACCTTTAGGGGGCCTGGGCACAAGTGCCAATGGAGGCCTACATATCATGCCCAAATTTTAAAAATTATCAGTCAAGCTAACAAGTCGTTAAACAAAATATGTTCTATCCTCCTACTTTGAGAACATACTTGATGACGAGGAACCTTAAAGTGTATGCATGGAGCCATGGTTTTTATATGACTTAAAGTCAGCAAAATATCAAAGGCAACTAGATAATTTAATTCACTTTGCTGTATTACACTGCATATTAAAGTTATTCATGAATTATGATTCAGGTTTTTGCTGTGCCTTGGAATCAGCATCAGTTACCACTGTAGAGAGGTGTGGACATAAGGAGGGTGGATGAGGCCTACTGGACCCAACTAACACCAGGACATAATCAGAAGGGTTTTTTTTGTTTTGCTTTGTTTTTAGGTAAATCTTGAATTTGGGCTTATTTCATTGTGAGTTATGTCCTTTTCAAGAAAAAAAAAAGTGACAAAACCCTTTTGTTCTTGTTCATTTGGAAGATATTTTGGGCTAGAGGATTGTCATTTTGCTCTATTTGTACATCTTGTAAGTGCACTGCAAACAGAGCTAAGTTAAACAGATGTGAAAACAGTTTCATAAGATAAAGTTTAAAGAAGTTCTATATAAGGAGACATGATGGATGATAGCTTTCCCTTCCCTAAATGGCAATTTCTCAGGTCAAGGTCAATGAAAAGGCAGATTTAATAGGTAGCTATTATGTTAAACCACAAGGAATTTTGAATTCCATCGTGGCAGATCCTCTCATCTCACCACTAACACATGAAGACTTAAATTTTCTTGTGGTTTCAGTTTCAGAAATGTGGTCATTTTCTAGCCCATTTTCTACAAATTGTCAAAGGAAAATGCTTCCAGAATCACTGGGGTGAGGGTAGCTATGCTTCAGAATAGCAGTTTAAAGTTTACAAGGGTTCAAACTACATTCAAGAGTGTTAATAGGCATTGAGCAGATACTGGACCTTTTAGGAGATGGTTCTTATTGATGTCCAGATTCTAGAAAGCTCTACTAAACTTGTGAGAACAGCCCAGCGATCCATCATCTTAATTCTGTGAATTCCTCTTTGTGTCTACTTCTGGTCTAGACTAGGCTTTTGTCACCGCCCCAGAGCATTCTCCTCTCCCATCACTGCTCGGTCAGGGAGACAGAACCCACGTGCGAGAGGAGGGCATGTGCTATGGCCTGAATCGGGTTCTTCCCAAGTTCATATGTTGCCGCCCTAACCCCCATGTGACCATATTTGGAGATGGGGCCTTTAAGGAGGTTAACTGAGGTTAAATAAGTGTGGGACCCTGATCCCACAGGATTGGTGTCCTTATAAAAAGAGAGGAAGACCCCAGGAGCCCCTATTTCCCTCCTGAGATATTGTATAAGAACTTGGCTCTACCACTGGTTTAAAAATATGGGCTATTTCATGTTTGGCCTTGATTTTCATCTCCTTCCTTCCCTGATAATTGTTTGAATGCGAAAGTAGAAAACAAATGTCTCCTCGTCTGTCCCCTTCATTATTACTGTCATTATTATTTAGCCACGCAGAGGGTGCTCTCTGGGGGACAGTGGCCACAGGCCAGAGATCGCCTGCTTGCCTTGAAGGAGAAAGGACTGGGCGGATTATTCATGATAACACCTCAGATTAATGCCTTCCAGTTCACAGACACCCGCCAGGTGGTCACAGTGCTGCGTCCTCTTAACGCTTTGAGGCATGCAGTGCAGGTAATAGTACATCCATCTTAGGGATGGTAAAACTGAGGCTCAGAGAGGTGAGATACCCCAGCTGAGATCACATGGCCCCAGTGAGGACTCCTGTTCAGGGAAGGTGAGGAAGGTCACACTGGGTGGTGCTGTGTAAAGGGGATATTTGGGAAAATCGCTAGAGTAAGCTGAATTATATCATATAATTTAAAGAGGCTCCATAAGGAGATGGATTGTGGGGACCCTCCCCGCATGCCGGTGGGCCCAGGTCGTAGTTCCAGCAGCCACGTGGGTGCTGAAGGCTGGCTGCTCCTGGCTCCAGACTCTCATGACCCTTTATCTGTAACTCCTTTTCAAAAGTATTTTCATAGAAATAGACCTATTTGTTACCCCTCTGGGTCATTTCTAAAAAGTTTAAGGAAAATTGTTAAAAGAAGCCATTTGATTTGGTTTTACTCAGCAGCTTGCTTTTGAGATAACAGAGGACACCTTTTTTTCCTTCCATCAACGCTTGGAAATCCCTGTCTAAACAAGAACAAGAAACCGAGCCACAAAGTCAGCCCTGGATGAACCGGGGAGAGACTCCCACAGCTGGGCCGCCCGGAGGGGGAAGAGGAGCGGCGGGAGGCAGGCAGGCGCGGGGGCTGCGGGCGGAGGGGAGGCTGGGGGAGCGCCAGAGCAGGGTGCAGGCCCAGGCCTGGGCTTTTATAAGGGGCAGGCGGCGGGTACCCCCTCGCTTCTCCTGCTTCAGCCAGACTCACAGCAGGGTTCTCGCCCTTGCTGCCCCAAATCCCCAAGGGGGCTTGAAAGATGCCCACGTCGAGGCCAATCCACCCCGCTCCCCACGTGCCTCCTCCCAGCGCTGACTGATGAGAAAGATCTGGGCTCCGCCTGCCCCTCCCCCTCTGCTCTCGGGGCTCCTCTGGCTGCAGAGAGCAGGTGTCCCGCCAATCACACCCATCTGAGGAGGCTGCCGTTTTCCGGCACAGCTGAGTGGGTGCACTTAATTCTCGGGTGCAGTGGGAGGGTGCTCCCTTGGCTGACAGACAAGAAGCCGCCTCCTCCAACAGTCTGAGCAGTGAGAAAGCTGCTGTTTGGACCCCCATCTCAGCCTCCAACAATCATCTTTCCATGAGCTCTGCATACTTTCTCAGGAAGCTACGGGAAAATGAGGTCCATCAGGATGAGGGAGTCACTAGGAATAGCCAAGAACAAGGGAGACAGGAAATCCCAGAAAGGAGGGCTTCACGGAGCACAGGGGATGTCCAGGGGGGCGCTGACAGGAAGTCCAAGGACAAATGTATGCAGCCTTCAAGGGAACCCAGGGCCCGGGAAGGAGTGTCCTGAAAACAAAACGGAACCAACATTGCCACCTGGGTTTAGCCACGTGGGATGAAAGGCTGCCAAGGGGTGTGGGGGGACAGCGGAGGTGCAAATAAAATGAAGTGAATCCAGTGATGAGGCAACTGTTAACTTCGGGACAAACAAAAAGTTGTAAAAGGAAGGAATATACTTATGGTTTATTACTTGGCTCAGCAGCGCATGATATTTACATGGTTCTTCTAATATTTAAATATTGGGTACTAATCTAACCAAGAGTAATGCCATAACCATATTAGGACACAAGAGAACTAAATCCTCAGCTACCGTAATAGGAAGACAGTAGGTGATTCTCAGATGGATTAATCAAAACAGAGCAGTATAATTGCACTTAGAAACGTGGATGTCATTATCAGGGGAATCTGCTGAGTTGAAAATATCCAAAGAAATTGGGTGAGGGGGGGGGCAAGAGATTGCTCTTGTGTCTCGGTTTTGCTTGATGGTAAGTCTTTTAACATTGCAAGAAAAAACAAGCAAACGAAACCCCAAAAAGGACAAGACACTCACCTGAGTAGAAGTTAAAATGAAAAAACCTGTATTCTCTGTTCAGTTTCTCTGGAAACCTAAACCTGCTTGAATAAGTCACTGAATGAATTCCTTACAAAGAATCAGCCCCTCAATAAAACCAAAACCCGTTAAAATAAGAATGAAGTGACACATACAGTTACACTGGAGAACTCGGGGTAAGAAAATGTGTCAGTGCAACACACCTGCCCACTAGGCAGGTGCAAGGTGGGATGGAGGACACGCAGCACACTGTCCACCGCAAGGGAGTAGACCAGCCTGCCAGGAGAGTCAGGCGGACTCGGAGGGACGTCGATTTGTCCAGCTGGTTCTATCCCTAGGGGCCCAGCTACTAGGTGATTGAACTTGCCTGGGCTTTCAAAGTTCTGCATCTTACCATTTTGTATCAACCGCTGGATTTAAGAAACCCAGGAGGGCCTGATGTTACATTGTGGCTGATAAGGCAGATCTGTGCAGTAGGCAAGGCGATGGGAACATCCTTCCAGAAGGGTGCTTATCATGATCGAATTTTAGGAATATCTGTTTGTCCCTCAGCTTCCACTGAGTGGAGACTGGGCCAGGTACGTCTTGTATGCTTAGTCATTTCCTTATCTGATCTTTTTTTTTTTTAAGGGCTGTTTTAAAAATCAATGCACAGGTAGTGTTCTCGTTATGATAGTTTTAGGACGTAATGCTTTGGCCCCTTTCCTTGCATTAGTAAGGAGATCACAATACCACAGATGTTAGAACTGAAGGGACTTTGAAAAATCAGAGGGTCCCCCACATTTACAGATGAAGGGGCCCTGACAAATGTAAATGGTCTGCCCATTCGCAAGAAGCTAGTTAAAGAACACCAGCTGGTTAACACCAGAACTGGTTCTAGAACTCATTGGTATACGTTAAGTGATACGCCTGACCCATCCACTAAAATAAAATTACTACTCTGGGTCAGGCCGAATTCTAGGGCATGTTGGGAGAGGACGCTTACTGGAAGGGGGAGACCACGTGACTGGCTTCCAGCAGGTGCCTGATTGCCATCAGCACAGCTGCTCCATTCGCCTCCTGGGAGGACGGCTGCTCTCTGGCCCTGCAGGTTATTGAGCAGCCACATGGAAAGCCCCGTTCCCACCATGCCACTGATTGGAGAGGTGAGTACAGGGTTATAGACCACTCGATAAAAGGACCGTCTCCACACCCACCACCCCCTAGCCAGACAAGTGCTTGCTATAATTCAGCCTATAAGGACACACTTAGCCCAACTGCTAAGCTTCCTGAGTGTGCATCTGGA